AGAGCCGGTTCTGTGTGGTACTTTGATGGATCAGATTTCGAGAAAATGGGTTCTACAATTAAAGAAACAATGGATAAATTAATTGGTTAATTTGTAAATATTCATTGAATTATACTAAAAAATTATTTTATATATATCCAAATTATATATTTTTTTAATCTTTAAAAATGATAAAATTAAATAACATTAATTAGATTACAAATTTTAAATTTATGTTGTACATAATTTAGAAAAAATCCTATCCAATTCTAGCAAAAGCCTTCAATATTTTAAAAGGTTTTTAAGTTTCTCCTATTAAGTAACATTATTTTTAAAAATTAAACCGTAAATATCAGCATCTTTTAAATAGAGAGAAAAACTTGTGATCATACTTTTAGTAAAAAAAGTTAAAGACTTTAAGAAATAAAAATCTTAAAAAACTACATATGCAAAATTAGAAAAATCGTTTGAAAAATGTGACATAATCGAAATAATGTCAAAAATGCGGCGCTGAAAATGGAAGAAGTATGCAGTAAAAAACTCAGCTCGACGGATTCTATAAATTAAGACAAACTGACCATTTTTTAATACTTTTAGGAAGGAAAAAGGAGAGTGGGGGGGGGGGGGAGGGGGTACGAACCAAACTTTTACCTAATTCTATTAAAAATTTGATCTGTTCTTTAAAATAAGAATTCTGTTCAAAAATTTGATAGCAGACATAAATCTAAAAAACCCTTGTTTTCAATTAGTGTTGCGCCCGACCCTGTACCCCGAACCACGTTGCAGAAAGATTATTCTGAGATTATCCCCGACCCGGATCTCGCCCAAAAAATTAAAACCCCGTCCGCCGACCCGAAAATTTTTGAGGTTTTCGGGGTATACTAGACATAAAATGCCAGTTTTTATGGGAATGGATGGAAGATGCAATAAAACCATCATAGTAAGGGTAAATTCAATTTCGTACCCCCCTCCTTTTTCCTTCCTCAATGAATTACAAAATGGTCAGTCAAACTTAAGTTATAGAACTCGTCGAGTCGTGTCGCATGACACCAAAATCGAAAAATCGGACCTGATTTGACCGAGATACAGACCCCTGAAAATTGAACAACCATAGGAGTGATTTTTTGGAATAAAAAAATTTGGCTCTATTACACAATATACGTCCAATCAACTATTATGCGTCCAATCAGCTTTTATACGTCCAATCAAATTTTATACGTCCAATGAAAGTTTATGCGTCCAATTAAAAGTTTATGCGTCCAATCGAACTTGTACGTCAAATCACATTTTTAACCGTCGGAAACAATCGTAGTACCTGCGGCTACATTATTTGCTATAATTGGGAGAAGTGTATAAGCTGTGCTAGCAGCAATATGGAAGAAACGGACTTTATTAGTTCCTCGCTCGCCCATACCAAACACCCAGTCGTATTGACGCATTAACATATTTGTATTATACTTAGCGAATTTTGACGACTTATCAACTTCTGCCACGCGACCTAACATTGAATTAACTTGAACTCTCGTTGCGCATCCCTAACAGATTATAAATTATTTTTAAAAAATCTCTGTTAGCCTAAGCAAGCTCTTGAGCAAATTCGTTTCCTAATTATTCTTAAATGAATCTCTGTTAGCCATTGAGCAAGAATTTATTTTTTACTGGACGAATAAAATTTATTTGGACGCATAAACTTTGATTGGACGTATAAATATTTGATTGGACGTATAAATTTTTATTGGACGCATAATCTTTTCATTGGACGTATAAACTTTGATTGGACGTATAAAAGTTGATTGGACGCATAATAGTTGATTGGACGTACATATATTGTGTAATAGAGCCAAAAATTTACCCAAATGATAGCTCATTCGAAAGAGCTCGTCGAGCTGAGTCGAATGACACCAGAATCAACGTGATTAGACATGGTTTGACAAAGTTATGACCGTAGACCTAATGGAGTCGACGACTTATGTCATAACTCTGTCAAATCTTGTCCAATCGCGTTGATTTTTGTGTCATTCTACACAGCTCGACGAGAATGAGGTATCATTTCTATGAATTTTGGTCCCCATGGTTTTTCGCTCTTATGGTTGTTCAATTTTCAGGAGTCTGTATCTCGGTCAAATCAGGTCCGATTTTTTCGATTTTGGTGTCATTCGACACGACTCGACGAGTTCTATAACTTAAGTTTGACTGAACATTTTGTAATACATTGAGGAAGGAAAAAGGAGGGGGGTACGAAATTGAATTTTACCATAGTAAGTGCCTAAACCTTAGCCATAGTAAGTGCCTAAACGCTCGCTGCGCTCGCGGCGACCGTAGCGAAGCGGCGGCCGTCGTTCCGCTCGACATGCCCGGCTTCCTCCGCAGCTGCAAAAACTTTTTTCCGCGAAACCCTTGTGGAAGGGGCTAAAACAAACGGTCATAACTTTGTCAAATGACGTCTGATTTCATTGATTTTGGTGTCATTCGACTCAGCTCGATGAGCTCTTTCGAATGAGGTATAATTTGCATATTCGAATTTTTCACCCCCAGAAAACAGCTTGGTCCCCCCTATGGTTTTTTGAAATTTAGGAGTCTGTAACTCGGCTCAGAACTTTTTCCGCTGAAAAATTTTGGTGTCATTCGACTCAGCTCGACGAGCTCTTTCGAATGACATATAAATCGTCCAATTCTGAGTCTGATCCGGAAACTGTAGTTTAGCCAAATTTTCGCCTGTGGTACTAAAAATGTAAGAATGTAGGCTTTCAAAAATTTTTAAGTAGAAATTACGTGATCCGCAAAGGCGCATGCCGGATCTGTAAAATGTGATTTCAGACTCATGGATATTAAAGAATTTTAAAATTTTTGCCTGTGTCACTGTAAATGAAAGAAATCTGTCTTTTTGTCATTCTAAAATACTCAAAATTTTTGCCTGTAGCGCTAAGAGGCCTCATTTGAAAACTATTGTGGTATTCGAGGAATGTGAGTGATTAATGCCCAGATATCTTCTAATATCCGCCAAAATCTCTGATATCCCCTCAATCTCTTTAAATCTCTGATAATCCTTTAATATCTTCCTTCAATTCTTTGTTCAATATTTATAATCACTTATATTCCTTGAAACCGCCCTTAATCCCGCAAAATCCACTTATATCCACAGATATACCTTTTAAACCCTTTAAATCCCTTCAAATCCAATTAATCTAAATTTTTGAATAAATTAACGAATATAGACCGAAACGTATTATTTTTGGAGAATTTTTTTAACTTATTTGGACTAACAAATGATAAAATTCTGTAAGGGAAGATAGTTAAAAAATTTGTATTCATTAGAAGGTATTTGCATTTATTATATAAATACTTTTGCGTCGCGACTTATGCGCCCGACTTTTGCGCCCCCATTATTTTGAAAAAATAAAATAATAACACAATCGGACCTGTACCCCTTGGATTATAAAAATGGTATCCAGGAACTGAAGATTTATGTAGCGGCGTAAAAGTCGCGGCGCAAATGTTCACGTAGCAAAAGTCACGGAACCCATTAGAAAGGGCATATTCTAGTATATCATCCAAAAAAGAAAGTAGACCTATAACTTACCGTATTTACTCAATTAATTCCCCTGGGGAATTATTTTTCCAACCTATCCGTGGCATGGGGAATTATACAAGGGAGGGAAATTATTTGAGTTTTGAAATTTGAAGTTGTAGTAGGGTATTTGGGGGAGGGGGATTATTGTTTCAACTCATCCGTAGCAGGGAATTATTCGAGAGAGGGGAATTATTCAAGGGAGGGGAATTAATCGAGTAAATACGGTAAATACTTCCGAAGTTATACTGTATAGAAAAAATATTATCAGTGTATAAACTTTTTTACATAAAAAAGCTTTAATTCAATCGAGTTAAAGCTTTACATTTTTGGTTTGATATTATTCTTAGCTATAATTTATAGTTCGCGGAAACAAAATTTTTAATCGTATTTGTAAAATTCATATGGATTCTTAAAAATAAAACGGTTTATATTTTATTGTTTACTGTATATTTATTTTATTTGATAAAAAGTTGCTTTACATTATGGGCTAGAAAGAATATTTTTAGTTTTTGATTTAAGAGTTTTAAATGAAATCTGCTCAAGCAATTCAGTAGCATTGAGTAACATCTTGCTAATATAATACGCCTTCTTTTGTTCTTTAATGTATATAGCTGGAGCTAAATTAAGAAGAATAGACTTATGCTCTGATGCAGTTATAAGTGCTCTTGCTTCTAACAAACGATTCTCTTTATATGAGTTGTTAAACTTAACCAGGCCCTCTTCATACAATTCTTGTGTATTTTTCAGAAGCTCATCCATTGCCTTTTCTGAATCACGAATCACACTTACACCAGAATTTACTGCTGCAACTGCCAAAACAATTGTTTCATTAATCTCTTTTAATTCCTTCCCAGCGTTAAAATCTTTCAATTGATGTAGTACTTTGTGTTGTATAGGTTCGTACATTTTCTGAATCTCAATCATATCCTTAATTGGCCCTGCTGCAAAGCGTGTTGCATCATCAATATAACATCCGTAGCATCCTTTTACCGATGGAACTGGTAATTTAGACCAACATTTTATTACAGCTCTAAATATGTATGTTTCAATAAGAATCATGTTAAGCCCCCAAGTTAAATAAATAATCAGATTAGAGATATATTTCAGATTAGAGACCGGACCTGGACGAGATCTCAAACAAAAATCTCGATTATTAAGATCGAAATTTTTCAATTTGTATGAAATTTTTTTGAGATGTTGTAAACTATGATCATGGAGTCATAGAAAATATCGTTAGATTTGGGTGTAATATCGAAGGATTGTGTCGTATAATCAGATATCAAAGATATCTGTGGATTTGGCCTGCAAATCTTGATATTTTTCAATAAGCCTTACGAGATTCAGAAAATTTTTGCCTGCGTGTTAAAAATGCGAAAAATCTGCTCTTAGCCTTCCAAAAATCTCATAGTTTTTGCATTTGACCTTCCAAAAATCTTAATTGGCGCTAAAAGGAAGAGATCTATATTCATGGCCTTTCAAAATCACAAAAACTTTGCCTGTGACGCATAAACGAAAAAAGAATGGGGTATTTTTGAGAATTTGCATGGATTATGGGGATTTGGAGTATTGTGTTCAGGATCTATATAAGATGAATCTGATATCGATATGGAAAAAAACAGATATTCGAGACCGATATATCGATATCGATCTCGACTTGTCCCACACTGCACCAGTATTTAAATCAACTATGATATCTAACGGAAGTTTTAAAATATCTAGCCCGCAAACTTTTTTACGAGAGCGGCACGAGCAAAAACACCACTCACAAAGGAGAGTGCCTGAGGTGTCCGTAAAACTTCGAGATAAAATTTGGCAGACAGATAGATCATACCCTACTTTAATTATGAAATTCTCACCACTTTCGCTGCGGGGTACCAGGGACCGAGTTATAAGCCCCCAAAATTTTAGATCCCCTCAGTTTTCTTTTCTACTCATAAACAATTTTGTATTAGAACAAATGTGTTATTCGTTGGTGCAGTGGTAGCGTTCTTTAATTTACTTTTTTCCCCAAGTTCGAATCCAGATTGAGGAAATTCATTTATTTTAACATAATTTTTGCTTTTGTTTTTGAAAATTTTATTTTTAAAATAAAAAAAAAATTTTTGAAATTTTTTTGAACACTTTTCAAAAAAAGGAAGGCTTTTTCACAAGGCTTTTTCTAGAACACTATAGGAATGAATAAGGGGAGGAAATAAATAGTTAAGAAATTAAAAAAAGTTTTTAAAAAAATTTTTGGCTAAAAACATTCTGATAAGAATCACAAAATTAATAAGACTAAAATTATGTTAAAAAAATCAATTTCACCAATAAGGACTCGAACCTTGGAATTATACACAAGCACGCTACCACTGCACCACCACAGAATACATTTGCATATTAAAAGAAATTGTTTATATGTGGGGGACCTTAAAACTGGGAGCTTATAACTCGGTCCCTGGTACCCCGCAGCAAAAATGGTGAAAATGTCGCAATAAGTAGGGTATGATCTATCTGTCTATTAAATTTCATCCCGAAGTCCCACGGACACCTCATGCACTCTCCTTTGTCAGATAAAATTTATCCAAGTTCTTTACATTGGATGCAAGTTACAACTATAAAACATGCAAATTGCATTATCCCAATTTTTGGAGAAAAGTAATTGCACGTGTTTCGTCGTTAATTTCAAAAAGTGATTTATTATAAGTGTAACTAATCTTTAAAGATATTTATTTCGATGTGAAAAAATTCTACTAATACTCTATACTACTATAATGATTCTATAAAAATGAGGTCTCTGAGAAATAACGGCGACACTCCTAGTCCGGTCTCTATTTTACATGTCCACAAATGAAAAATTCTTACTTATCACATTGACAAAGAGCCTGCTCGCAAACGGTGTTCTGATTTTCAAGGCATTTCATCTGACCTGTAAAAAGGAAATGGATTGAATTTCCAAACGCTTTTCCTATTTTGCAGAGACGGGGGGGGCTCTAAAAGCTTTCGTAGAATATTTTAGTTTTCGATATTTAGAACTTTTTTCTATTTCAGTTTTTTAAAAGCTTATTGTTTCGAACAGCTCATTCGACCAAGTTTTTATTTTTTATTTCTTGTCAAAAATATGTCTTATTTCAATTGAAATTTTTTATGATTGTTCTATTTGGACAATAGTTATCCATTCAGAATTTAATAAAGTGCAATTAACGGTGATACGACTTTTGCGGCGCGTACACTTGCGGCTCAGACATTTGCGGCCCAGACACTTGCGGCTCGCCCCTATTTTGACACTTGCGGTCCCGACACTTGCGGCTAAGAAATTTTCGGCGCAGACATTTGCGGCTATCAACTTGAGGCCCAGACACTTCCGGCCCAGACTATTGCGGTTTTGACATTTGAGGCTCCCCCCTATTGTGACACTTGCGGCCCGACATTTGCGGCCCCAACATTTGCGGCCCAGACATTTGCGGCTATGATTAAAAAATTAAATTAAAAAATCTTAATTCATCGTTCAATTAATATCGGTCAATAGTTTCTGATTCCAATTCTCAAATCCTTATTGAGAGATTCTCAAATCCTAACTCTCAAATCCTTAACTCAATGTATTAATTACCCTGGGTAATTATTGTTTCATTCTCTCACTGGAAGGAGTAAATAATAGAAACGGGGTAATTATTTAAGGGTTGACAATTATGACTAAGATAATTTTTTATCTTAAATTTATGAATACCATCATTACTTCCGTTTCGGGATTTATAAAGTCGCCCAGTTAATCACAAATTATGAATAAGATTTCATGCAAAGTATGAAGGTTAGATGCACTCAATGCAATTTGAAACGAAATTATTTCTTAATATTGATAAAAACTATTATTAAAAGCGGAATCTGGGTATATTTGAAGAATTTTTAGGGAGATGTAAGGTTGATATTAAAGGAAATATAATGGGACTTGGAGGGTAAAATAGGTGGAAATTAAAAATTCACTTAAAATTACTTTTAATTTAAAAAATTTACTTAATTTTTTAATCATAGCCGCAAATGTCTGGGCCGCAAATGTTGGGGCCGCAAATGTCGGGCCGCAAGTGTCACAATAGGGGGGAGCCTCAAATGTCAAAACCGCAATAGTCTGGGCCGGAAGTGTCTGGGCCTCAAGTTGATAGCCGCAAATGTCTGCGCCGAAAATTTCTTAGCCGCAAGTGTCGGGACCGCAAGTGTCAAAATAGGGGCGAGCCGCAAGTGTCTGGGCCGCAAATGTCTGAGCCGCAAGTGTACGCGCCGCAAAAGTCGGCTAATCCAATTAACCTTCACTTTCTTGATGGGAATATTTCGATTTGTCGACTTTAATATAATTAATTTCATTTTGAATGGCTGGGCAATCCTTTTTAATGGCTCTGATACAAAGATGGTGATAGTCACAGCACCTAAATATATAGGTATTAATTTAATAAACATTTTAGCAGCAAATTTTTTGCTGCTATTCCCCCAAATACCCTAATTTTCTCTATATCCATTAAGTTTGTAAACTTTTTCTTAATAAAATCTTAGAATCCCGGTAGATTTTAGAACGCTATTACAGTGATAACAGAATTTACACGATTAATCAGCGGGATCCCCTCAAAAAATCATTAGGCCAGAAAGCTTAGCGCCGCATACAAAAATTTTTAATTTTAAGAAGTTAAATATTCAAAAATTCTTCTTCATTTAAAGAAAAGTACAGAATAGTACAAAAATATTTCTACATTTTCGAGCGCCGCAAGCAAAAATTTTGAGAATTTTTATTAGAGCCGGAAATCCCCTATTTTCACATTTTGTTAACAATATGCCAAAATTTTTATGAATATTACAAAATGCTAAAAATAGTGCAAAATATGGCAAATGGATAAAATATCGAAAAACTTGGGCGAAAAGGTCAAAAATAGGTAAAAAGTCACCCTGGCTTAACCCTACTACCTATATAGAATGTTTTAACAACTATATTTCTTCATTGAATTTAAATTGAGCACCAAATTTTCTTACAATTTTGTAAAAATAGTTATAATTTAAGATAAATTTTAACTAACTTGTTTATTTTTTCCTCAAATTTTTCTTCCCGCGTAGATGCCGGGAATCCACAGCTAGAAAATTAATAAAATAATTTTATTATTATTCCGATTTAACATCAGGCCTGGACCTGTTTTCTTCAGAATTTAAAAACTAATTTTAATTTATTTTGAGATTTGGAGTCGTAAGACGTCCAAGAATCTTAATCTTGAATCTTGGCTCAAGACTTCTTGGATTTATTTCGATCTTAGGGTTATTGTTAAATTCGTCCTCATAAGAAACAGTATTGAGATTTGCTCTTTCATTGCCGAAACAGAAATCGAACTGAAAATTCGCTGAATTTTCAAAAAGTCTCTTAGAAATCTTTGAAGACTTCGTTAAGAAAATTTTAAACTAATGTCACTCATGAACATTGTTTGGAATTTTGAAATTTGCTCGTACTCGGTCCTGCCTTATTTTTTGTTAATACTGAAACAAGCTTCAAAATACTCCCTATGAAGCAATAAATTCTCTTAACTAGCGACTAAGGCAAAGCTTTTGATTTTGTATGGCCATGAAGCCAAAATGGCTAAACACGCAAAAAATATTATATTATAGTACTATTTGCTACAAACTGGGCAGGACCGGGGCAGCATTTTTCAGAAAAGACCCGGGCTGCGTTTTCCGGACTAAAACCTATTAGGAAACCCCGAAAATCGGATTTTATCAAAAAACCCTGTTTGCGGATATGTACCGGGCTAGGAAACAGGTCCGAAGCTCTAAGGAGTGAACTCTATTTTTAATTATAAATATATACTAGCAGCCATAATTGTCGTAGACATTTTGTTCTTTAAGATAACTGCATTCAGACTAAAAATTAAACATTTAAAAATACTTCTACTGTTATATTTATTTTATTTTATACAGTTTACCCCAAAAGAAATGGGATATATTATTTATGGATATCTTATTAAATGAAACACATCAACCATACATTACATACTAAGATCCGGTTACTACGACAAAATTAGCCTCGGACCCAGCCTTATAAACTTGGTAGGATTTGTCATAGATAATTTAATATATTTATTTTGACCCCAGGATTCACGAGAATCTAGGAATTCTAAAAAGTATTGGAAAGAGAAGACAGGGGCACAATATTTGTCATTATGATGATCCTAAAATTTTGTTCATAAAATATTTTTTGACAGAAGAAATCGTCTCTTGCTTGCGAACTTTTGCCAAAAAAATTTTCGGGCGCCATGGATTTGTTATCGCAGCAAAGAGTGAGCAGTTTGAAAATCCTGATTAAATCTGTTCTTTTTTAATTCTTTATCTTATGAGCTTTATTTGATATCATTATCTTTAGATTGAATAAATTTATAACATAAATAACTTGACACATTTCTTTTGGTCACCCTGGACATACATATAATTAACTTAGGATTGATTAATGTATTTTCACTAAATAAAATAAATGTCACCAAAAAGTTGGTTTCAGAACATGGGTTTAAAAACGAGATACCAGTTAAACAGCTATTTAAGGTTTCAAGTTTTTAATATCGAAATTTTGATGTGAATTTGAAAAATAATATTGCCTCAATATTGGAGTTAATATTTACGAATTATTAACTCACTTCTTGACAAGAGCTGAGTTGATGTTCTTTGTAATACATTTTACGTGACTTAGTGGCAATCGAGAAACTCAAGTCTTTCTCCATTACCTCAAATCCCAATACCTCTTCGAGGCGGATTCCTTGACTGCTGAATGTACTCCAAAACGAATTAGTGTTAAGCTTTCCTCGAATTTTCGCTAAAATTTATTTAATTTTTATTTTATTTAATATATATCGACCGAGTTCGGTTTTATTAGTACTTAATGCACTGAGAAATTGCAATGGAGTTTCATCCAGAATATTGAAATACTTCCTGAATTATATTATAATATAATAATATTGTGTTTTATATCATAATCATAATATAAGTTTTCGC